AATAATACTACAAGTAACAATAAACTTTAAGATCAACATAATAATAACATAACAAAACTTTTAAAAATCAATATTACCATGTTATGCCATGTCGGTTTTTTTTTTTTTTTTTTTTTTTTTTTTTTTTTGCCGGACAGCTTATGTACTGAGATTGAAACAATGTTTAATCAATATTGGTGGTCTGGAACGGTACGGGGAGGTAGAGGTCTACGATGGAAGACGTAGAAGGCCTTGTGCGCACTGAAGACTATGGGTGGACTGGGTTTCAGGATGTTGAAGCACATGAACCTTGCATTACTAGGTAAGCAAGCATGGCGGTTACTAACTCGCCCGGACTCGTTTGTAGCACGGGTGTTTAAGAGCCGCTATTATCCTAACACCACATTTTTTGATGCAGCGGCTGGGGGGAGTCCATCCTACATTTGGCGTGGAATTCTGGAGGCGAGGGATGTGGTGAAATGTTGGGCACGGCGCAGTATAGGAGATGACAGGAGCACCGTAATAGGGACTGATCCGTTGCTTGTAACTGCGGAGGATCCTTATGTGCATACCACTTTGCATCCGACGGTGGAGCAGGCAACAGTGAGTGCTGTTGGGGAAAATAGCAACGTCAACGCACGAAATAATGGATATGTCCATATATATCCATATAATATATATATATATATATATATATATATATATATATATATATATATATATATATATATATATATATATATATATATATATATATATATGTATGTATGTATATATAATATATAATTTCGTGTTTGCATATTAAAGTCATAGCAATAGTGAAGTTCACATACGTGATTGCTAGTGTAAGCTATCCGTAGTAGGTCTGTGTAGCCTGTCGAAAGCGTGCCAGGGTTTTAACTGCACCGTTATCGGGCAAATAACGCTTTTAAGGTAGTGTTATTGTAACACGACACAGATTTCCTTTCAACCATACACCAATAGTGTCCGTGCTTCTTAAAAGGCTTCCAGATCGTGCGTTGACGTTGCAATTTTCCCCAACAGTTAAAAGCGTTATCGTGTAACAGTCAACCTTTAGTATTATGGCACCTTCTGTCATACCGGATCTATCAAAAATCATCGCGCTTGATGGTAAAAATTACAGTAGGTGGGCTCAAAGAATGCTTATTCTCTCTGAACAATTAAAGTTGGTTTACGTGCTATATTCAGTTGCACCTGAACCTACTCCAACAGTGTTCTCTCTCTCTAGTGCTACAAAAGCTAACCATGAATCTGATTACACTCCGGGTGAAGAATCGAGAGAAAGCAGTCCTGAAATAGATTATATTCCGGGTCAAGAACCGGGTGTAACTCTGATGCAGTTTAGAAATGACAATGCGGCAGCCAGAGGATACCTTTTGTCTCAAATGAATGACGATTTGTTCGACATCTATGTCAAACAAGACTCAGCAAATGTCATTTGGGAATCACTGTTAGAAAAGTACGGTTCCAATGAAATTGAAAATCAAAGTGTCAGAACTGTCTACAACAAAAGGAGTAGAAAAATCAAGAAGTTCAAAGGAAGGTGTTTTACATGCAAAAAGCAAGGACACCGAGCACACCAGTGCTACCATCACATGGCAAAACTAGCAAAAGTCAATCTTACAGAGCAAGATGAGTATTGAGTCTCTTTAAATAAGTAGTTATTTTTGAGTAACTATATTTGCTCTAGTTCTAAGGGTTCGCATGAAGTATGATTATCTTAGTACTGAATTCTAGTTGAGCTGTCTAGATTTTGATTACTTAGTAGTACTTATTTCTTTAGTATTTTGAATACTAATGCCATTGATTGAAATAATTCGTGCATAGATATTGCTCAAACTTTTTACTAAAATTATTTGTATAAAAATAAGAGCATATATCATAGGCTTCAATTGTAATTTAGTGAGAAGATGGAAAAGTCATCATTCTTGAACACTCTGTCTAGGAAGATGGTTTTTAAGTAAACTTCTGTTTCACCACTCGACCTGGGAGTTTTTAAGAAGTAGGGTGTTGATCATGCAGGCTAGTTAGAGCGCCACTTGACTTTCATATGTTGTTGAACAATCAAAGCCTTGCAATAGAAATTGTTGAAGTACTGCAATAGTAATATTGATCTGCATCATGTGAATGCTTTATATGAGTTTTAATTTTCTCAAGGGAATGGAAAATTGTGCAAGTGGCAACTCTGAAGTCTCATTGTTGAGAGATATTTCCGAATAAATATGAGCTCGAACATATTCCTTGTGTATGAGATTAATTTCTTATAAGAATATGATGTGAAATTTGTGATTATGTTGTTCAACTTGATGTAGCATGTGGACAACATTATTTCTATGGCTTACTAACAATGAGCATTTGTATATATATTATTTAAACTCTTGGTTGAGTCATATTGAAATACCTATAATTCCTAGTTAAAGGGTAATTGTGATCAATTGAGATAATCAAGTTTGTTGAAATACATTCAACTGTTGAGCATGTATAAGGCAGAGTGCAAAGCTTCTATAATGGTCCACAAAGTAAGTCGGCAAAACTCAGTCTACAAAGGAGCTAATGATGGGCACCAAATATCAGTCTAGTAAGAGATAAAATACATTTGACAAAAATATTTGTAAGTGTTGCGTGCCTTGTGGGGGTAATAAACTCCTATATTTTCATCAAAAATTTCTCTGTGGCATTGAGAATAATGATGAAAGAGGATGTTTCATATTAAACATGAAAATCTCAAGGGATTATTTACGAGTAAACGAAGTACTCGTCAAAGTGCATGTAAGTTTGATCAAGAGAATCAACTTACTTGAGGGCTAATTATGAGGATTAGTCGCTGACTCATTGGAAGGACTTAAAGTCCAAGTGGTAATGAATTCGTGGTGGATCCCACTTCTGTGGTCAAACGAAGCCATGAAAAGAGTTACAAAATAGTACACTAGTTGGTCATTCAGATAGTGTGTGTACTTGTGAGGTTGAGCTACAGCTCTTAATGAATTCATAACTCTTTGAGAAAGGGTGGTTTTGTTGAGACAAACCTAATGAATTCACCGCATAATGACATGAGTACAAAGTGCTCTTGGTGCCTTATACTCAATTGGGACGGTCTATGTTGAGATACACCTAAAAAGATCCCTAACTTGAGTGGAAAAAGGCTAACCGCCTCTTATGAAAGATAATGGGGTTATCCCAAGAAGCCGAGTGGCTAAGAAACATGGTGATAACCGTGCAATTGTGGGGGTGTCCAACACCTTCACCACATTGTGATTCACAAACTGTCATTTGCGTTGCCAATAACAGTGCCTATGATAGAAAGAAAAGACTTACAACTGATTTATGTCTTTAACTACTCTATAAGCCTTTAATGGTAGTCTATACTAAGATAGACTTGATAGAGTTAAAAGTCTATATTGAGATAGACTTGATAAGACATAAAACCTGTAATGCGGTAAGACTTGTCAAAGTTAAAAGTTTATGTTGTGCTAGACTTCGACAGGGTAGAAGTCTATATTTGAGACAGACATAACATTCTTTAATACTAAGGGTGTTCATAAGAAGTCAAAGAGTTTGACTTCTGTAGAACCTGCTTTTGAGTTGGTGTGTGCATTCGAGTTCAAAATTTATCTAACCGGTGAGTTCAAGATTCATATCACTCTCGGGAAGAAAATTACTCTATGTCACTACGTGTCAGTTCAAGTTCTTAAACACTGACATTAAGATCAACTCATTTGTATTGCTCAGACGTTGTTTCTTTCTAGCCTTCTACTTTGAATGTGTGGGGGATTGTTGGAGATACATTCAAAGCTTTAGGATAGTCAACATGGACATATCCATTATTTGTGGGAAAAACATGTGGCTGCATGAAGCTGTTTTATTTCCACCATGAAGTTGGTTTATTTCCACCTCCATATTATTGCGTTAGTGTGTGTGCGTGGGAGGAAAAGTCGATCTCCAGATCTCTATGCTATATAAAGGAGCATGTCTTTTGTCTAAAGAAGGCACAAGATTTAGAGCTTCTTCATTCTTTCTGATGTGAGCATATATATATATATATATATATATATAATTTCATGTTTGCAAATTAAAGTCTGAGCAATAGTGAGGTTCGCATACGTGATTGCTAGTGCAAGCTATCCGTAGTAGGTCTATGTAGCCTGTCGAAAGCGTGCCAGGGTTTTAACTGCACTGTTACCGGGCAAATAACGCTTTTAAGGTAGTGTTATTGTAACACGACACAGATTTCCTTTCAACCATACACCAATAGTGTCCGTGCTTCTTAAAAGGCTTCTAGATCATGCATTGGCGTTGCTATTTTCCCCAACAAGTGCTTTGATGCACACCGAGGGTACGGGCTGGGATACGAACTGTGTTACTGATGTTTTTGATGAGAGGGACACAAGGTGTATCCTTAATATTCCGGTGAGTATTCATCGCCCAAAAGATGCATGGGTGTGGAGTGGTGATTCGAAGGGGTGTTACACTGTTAAGTCTTGCTATCGTTTGCTTGTGGGGGAGTTGAATGTTGTAAGGCCATGGAACTTAATATGGAATTTGCAGGTGCCACCGAAAGTTCGCATATTCATCTGGAAACTAGCGGCGTCTATACTACCAACGCGAGAAGCCCTTCTGTCCAGGCGGGTGTCTTGTATGGTGGTGTGCCATATGTGTGGTGTTGTGGACGAGTTGGCTGCACATTTATTTCGTGATTGCATGCATGTTGCTGCCCTATGGACTTCTATGCAACTGGCGCCATCATCGCATGATCAGGGGGTGTTCGTGGACTAGCTTTTTAGCCGGCTAACGGGCTTGGAGGATGATCTACAGTCTAAATTTGTGATGCTGTGCTGGGGATTATGGGGTAGTAGAAATGATAGTGTGTGGAGGGCGAAACCGTTTGTGATGGAGTCTGTTGTGTATGAAACGTTGGTCTTCTGGCATAATTGGAAGGCCGTAAATACCGTGGACCTAGGGATAGCTGGGGGGCTGTGTCGTCTCCGTGGACCAAGCCGGTTATGAGGAGGTTCAAGATGAACACAGATGCCGCATTAGACGTGACCCGGGAGGTCATGGGGCTCGGATGGGTACTACGCGATGATGCTGGGCAATTTCTGACAGCTTGTAGTCGGCGTGTGGCAGGGCGGTACACAGTGGTTGAGGCAGAGGCACTATGTATACGTGAAGCTACCATATGGTTGAGAGATACTGGTATGGGGGATGTTGATATTGAGACAGATTCACAGCTGTGTTATCATGCTTTAAATTCAGCCCCTTTTAATTCTGCGTTAGGTTTTTTGATAGATGATGTAAAACAAGTTGCCTCTACGGTTAGTGGGGTTAACTTTAGTTATGTACGGAGATCTACGAATCGTGCGGCCCATGCTCTTGCAAGGGAAGCCGTTTCTGAGTCAGGTCCCGAGGAGTGGTGTGATACACCTCCTCATTATCTTGTTCCTGTTCTTGCTGCGAACTTAATAAATTGAGTTTTGTTCTTCAACAAAAAAAACTTTTAAAAATATTAAATATTACATTGTATAGTTATACGTACATTTTTAATAAAACTAATTTTGCTTACTATCATAACATTACAACAATACCTATAAATTTTTGTCCGTGCATCGCACGAGACATTTTCCTTGTGGTTTACACTCACAGGCTGCAAAATGATTTGTGGAGCACAAACTATGATATCTACAAATGCACGATAACACACACATAGATTTGTAAATGGCTACGCAGAAAAATGCACACATCAGTGACAAAAAAATGCACAGATATGCAACAAAAGAATGCACACATGGACAACACGAGCCTAACATATACAATAACACAAAACAAATCTAAACTAAAATAAACAACAATAAAATTTCTAAAATATATTACAAATAAATAAAATAAAATTAGCATTCAAAAAAAATAAAATAAAATTAAAATAAAATAAAATTGCTGTGGAGACTACGAGTGATGGTGGCGGCTGTGGGTATTTGGTTGTTTGGAACTGTGGTGAAGACGACGGGTTGGATGGGGTGCTTTTTTTTCTTCAGAAAACCTTAACAATACGCGTCCAATGTGAGAAACATCTTACGCTTATTATATTTTCACTTCAACTATATGTGTCTGTAGTTTTCTAACTTCTGACGCATATGTGTTCTAAATACGCAGTTCAATAATGTGTGTCCGAGGTTTCCTAACTATTGACGCACATTGTTTTATATTTAAAAAAATAAAATTAATTATATAATTGCATTTTAATTACAAAAATACTACCACCTCCCACATTACACGTCCAAAGTTTAAACTTTGACACATAATCTTCTATTTTTTTTAGCCTTTTTGTACTAGTATCGACGTGTCGTAGCCCAAAATTTATGATGCCCCTCGTTCGTGTACCTATTCATCCAGGAAGAAAAAGTGAACTTAGCATCCAAAAATAATGAACAATATAATCTTGTAAAGCAACTGAAGTGTATATATAGCAGTATGGAGTATTTAGAAGAGATCACAGCAGAATATGCAGAGATTAAAACCCCAAAAATTAGAAGTAAATAGCATGATTTGTAACACAATAGCAGACAGGTAATGAACATATATGGAGAAGAATAACCACACAGGTATTTCAGCTGCTAACCCACTTAATTAGCATGCATTAAGGTTTTCTTCCACTTAAACATAAAACAATTCTATTCAGCTAAAATTTAGAGTCGAATATTGCGCTCAGAAAAAATGAGTAATTGATATCAGCTGAAAACGTAACCTTCCCAATGTAGCTCATACCTGAAGAGATATCAAATTAAACTTAATTCAACAGGGAGGTCCTGATCAGATGCCACAATTTCGAGGATCATAGAGAGCTCTGGGTTGCTGGAAATTATGGGTAATATCGACCATTTAATGTAAAAGATAATATATGCAACTCCAAATGTTATAACTTCATAGAATGAAAGATTAAAATGTTAGCCATTTCCAAACTTGATGCAAACAGATCTAAAGTTTGAAGCTTTCACTTATTAGATGGTATAATTTAATCAATTCATTTATACAGCCAAACACACACCTATTTACTTGTCAAGGCATAAACAATAATAACTAAAAATCTCAAGAAAGTTATCTACGAATAGGGGTAACCACGGTTCGGTTTGAACGTCACTGTAGTAATCGGAACCGAATTGGAACCGTTTATATGGTTCCGGTTCCTAACCGTTGATTCCGGTTAAGGGTCAAGAAATTCTGGAACCGGAACCGCCGATTCCGGTTCCAAACAGTGAAAGAAAAAAAAGGCCAAATGGCCACGGCTCAAGAGATTCAAACTTCAATTCTTTTTGAAGAATTGAAGTTTGAATCTTTCAAAAAGGAATTATAAATTTGTTATAAATATATAATATAATAATGATAGCATGGAGCTAAAGCCTGAAGGATGAGTATTTAACTATTTAACTATTTATAGAGTTGGAAATAAATTATAAATCATATTTTTACAAAACAAGCATAGCTAAGCAAGTTAGACAAATTGGCTTGTCATTTCTGAATAACATCCAACATTACTTGAGGACATGTGTTTGATTCTCACTTTTATGACTTATTTGAGTTATCTTTTTTCTTTGAAACGAGTAAACTAATTGTATTGAACATTAAGTTTAATATGCGCTGCATGTAAATATTAACACAATTGTGTCTATAACTTAGTGGGTAAGGCTCTTGCTCTTTAAAGTAGATGGTTTAAGGTTTAAACCTTATTTTGTTTATTTTATTGGAGTATAATTGTGCGCAACAAAACATACAAATTAAAAAAAAAAAAAAAGGTTAGAACCACCACCGATTCATGAACCGGAACCGAAACCTTATATAAGGTTTCGATTCCGGTTTGTGATTTGGTGGAACCGTGAACCTTCAATTCAGAATCGAAACCGAACCGTGGTCAACTCTCTATGACTACGAATAACTTCATAAAGAGTGGCACCAAAAAGTTTCAACTTCGAAACCGAACCGTGGTCAACTCTCTATGACTACGAATAACTTCATAAAGAGTGGCACCAAAAAGTTTCAAGTTTCAACTTCTACCCCTTTAGAATTCACAACTGCTCACATCAAGAAATTACTCTTTTTACTATTATTTCATAACAAAATTAACAGTAATAGATGCGATCTTTATTAACTGCTAGGAAAAATAGTTGGGGTGGCAAATTCAGTTCCATTTCCCATAATCGGACTGAACTGAACTGAACTAGTTCGATTCGGCAATATGCCAACAACTGAGTGATAATGAGCTCTTGTATACTGAACGGTTCGGTAAAAAAATCATACCGAACCAAACGATTCGGTAAAAAAGCGAACCGAACTGAATACCGTTCGGATAATAATAATAATAATAATAATAATAATAATAATAATAATAATAATAATAATAATAATAATAACAAAAAAGTAAATCCAAATCCCTGATTCCTAAATTCCTAATCGCAGACGAACACCGCTCCTCTAGCACACCTGCCTCGCTTTCAAATCTACAATTGAACAAGTCTCAGATGGTACCCACGCCTAAGTTTATATACTTGCATATGTATATGTGTCTTTCCCTCTAAGTTAAATTTAGGCGTTCACCATAATTAATGCATTCAATAAAATTGGACTCATTTTTTATAGTATGTATGTGAAATGTGATTTTCTGACACTCGAAGTGGAAATATTACATATGAAAATGGAACATTGTTGTTCATGGTAATGGTCATGTGCATTTGGGTGATTTCTTTTCCCCTTCTATTTCAGTTATTTCTGATTTCGCTAGCTGATTTGGATCTGAAAAAGTTTGCTAGACTATATAAATAACTTTAAAAAGTACTCTGACTTGGTCCATCTGGGTTCCCCAAAGTTTTTTTAAAGATGTTATAATCTCATAAAATGAGCTTGATTGAACTCAATTTATATAGAATGGATTTTTAATCTTAAATTATTAGTAAAATTAATTAATTGTTGTATTGCAGGTTTGAAAGCCTTTAGCTCGTGAAGAACGAAGAATAATAAGAACAGTAAGAAGACAATGAAGAACAGAGAAAATGATTCTTATTATTTGATTGAAGTTCTCTGTACAGCATTACATCATATATATAACAGCTATTCTAGAATCATACCATAAATATCAAGCTGTTACAAATCAAATCATTAATGCTAGAATAATGTCCATAATTAGATTTTACAACACTCCCCCTTGGACATTATTTGCCATAATCATGCCTCGTTAAAAACTTGCTAGAAAAACCCTGTGGGAAAAATCTAGTCGAGAAAAGAGTACATGATGTATGGATAATCATGTGTTGCTTTAGTTGCCTCATTAAAAACCTTACACTAAGAAAAACCCAGTGGGAAAAAAACTTAGTTAAGGGAAAAAGAGTACAACTATAACCTTCTGGGTTTAATCTTCAGGATTCGCAAGAGTTGTTGGTCTTCTAGACCGATAATTTATGTGCACCGAGATGTTGTTGCTCCCCTTGAAGACAACAATCTTCCTAACCTACGCATACCGATTTTGTAAACATATTTATCAAAGGTAGAAGTAGGTAAGGACTTAGTAAATAAATCTGCTAGATTTTCGCTTGATTGAACCTTTTGAACTTGTATGTCACCACTCTTCTGGAGCTCATGTGGATAAAAGAACTTTGGTGCAATATGTTTAGTGAGATTACCTTTAACATATCCGTTATTCATTTGTGCAACACATGCTGCATTGTCCTCATAAAGGACAGTGGGGGTCTTTCTAATACTTATTATTCCACACGAGTCTTGAATATTATGTATTAGTGACCTCAACCATACAGATTCTTTTGAGGCCTCGTATAAAGCAATGATTTCAGAGTGGTTAGATGAGGCAGCTACTAGTGTCTGTTTAACTGATTTTCATGAGATAGCTGTACCTCCAGATAGGAATACAAATCCAGTCTGAGATCTAGCATTATGCGGATCAGACATAAAACCAGCATCCGCATATCCTACTAATGTGGTGTCTTGGTCTCTTTTAAATAGAAGCCCAAGATCCTTTGTACCTTGTAAATATCTGAGGATATGTTTTATGCCATTCCAATGCCTTCTGGTTGGAGTAGCACTAAAACGAGCTAGCATGTTTACTGAAAAAGCAATATCAGGTCTAGTGTTGTTGGCAAGATATAAAAGTGCTCCAATGGCACTTAAGTAGGGAACTTCTGGTCCTAGAATATCCTCATTATCCTCTTTAGGTCTGTACGGGTCCATATCAACTTCAAGTGATCGGACTACCATTGGAGTACTAAGTGGATGTGACTTATCCATGTAGAATCTCTCCAATAATTTGTTTGTGTATTTGGATTGGTGTATGAATATTCCTTCAGGGAGGTGCTCGATCTGCAGGCCGAGACAAAACTTGGTTTTTCCCAAGTCTTTCATTTCGAATTCCTCCTTTAAACATAAGCATGCCCTCTTGACATCTTTGCATGTCCCTATGATGTTTATATCATCT